GGTATTTGCTTTTCTTGGAACCAACAACTGATCAGGATGCAGTGACTAGTTCATTCCTTATAATACCTGGGCTCCTTAAGGGGCCAGAAGACACGTTACATCCAGCCCATCAGGGAGCCGGAGGCGGCACGGGCCCTCTGCCAAGCCCTGGTAGGCCTGCCACGAGGCAGGGTCTGGCCGTGCAGCCAGAGGCTGGCAGAGGCAGACAGAGGCAGTTGGTCTCTCAGTCTTGTAAATTGGAGACCCAGGGCCGCTCATCAAGCTCATCAGGCAAGGGCAGTCCATCTGCATGCCTGGTGGATTCTAATGGCTTCCAGGGTAGAGAAGGACACGTGCAGGGGTTCGTGACAATCATCACCTTTGCACCTGCCCTGGGCCAGGGACACCCTGGGTCTGGGGTTCTTCCAGTGCTGGGGGGAGGCCCCTGGAGCATGCCAGTCCCCTTCCACCCCCTCTAAGAGACAAGAGGGAGAGGTGGTGTAATACTGTTTAAAATACATTTCTCATTTACAAATGCATCAGAGGAAAGATGTGGGCACCCTTTTTTCCAGTTTGCAAGCAGGGGGCCAAGACATGTGAGCATTCACCACGTGGCCGGGATGAGGGGTCAGGGTGACTCCTGCACAAGGTCACCTTCCCCCAGCGCCCCTCCACGGTCAGTGCGTTTGCCTGCCAGGCCCAGCTCCCACCTGCCTACCCACATCCCCCTGCTGGACTGGGGGCTGGGGGAGGGGTGTCACTGCCGATTCCGGCTGCCCAGCTTCCTGCGGTCCTTATTCTGACTGCGCTGAGGGTCATCCATCTTGTGCACGCGGAAACATTCCTTGAGGTTTTGGGACCGAATCTTGGGATTCAAGATCTCCTCAGTCATGTTGCTGGGGAACCAGCCTCTCTCCTGGTCGTGCAGACGCTCACCAAAGATCCACCCTGCACAGGGAGGGGGAGGGTCAGGAGCTCCTGCAGGGGTCTGGCTGAGCCCTCCTACTGGCACAGGAGCCCAGTGGGCCTTCCCAGAGAAGCCCGCTCGGAGAGCCCCTGCCGGAGACCCTCAGATTGGGGTTGCCTCCCATATTCTGGGGAGGCACCGCCCTGACACCCTCCTAGGGAGCACAGTATGTGGGTATCGCTGTGACGGAACCAGCTAGCTCTGTGCCACAGTGTGTCCCAAATGTATTGCCTTTGGAACCCATTCCCAAGCACTCAGTCATCCTAAGCTGTCCCACACGAGGCAGGGGTCCCCAAGGGCTTTCCCCAAAGCAAGAGGCATCCCAGTGGCTGGTGGGGGTGAAGACTCATTGGTGGTTCCCGGGCCTGGAATGTCACATTGTCCTCTTGCTGGGCATCCCTCTCTGAGCCTCCCGAGGGTCGGGTGGTCAGCTGAGGGTGGCTGTCATGAACTGGCCAGCCCCAGCACAGGGCCCTGGCTGTCCCCCTCCCCCAGAGGTCACCTGCAGGACGGGGTTCCTGGCAGGTCCCAGAGCAGGACAAGGACCTGGGCTCTGAGGGCCTGGCGCTCGCCCTCTGCGGGCCACGTGGGAAGGATGCTGGGCTGTTTTATTCTGGGGGAGGCGTGGAGGGAAACACTGCTCTTTCAATGCCAGGTGAGGCCCTGGAGTTTGGGACCAGCAGAGGTCACCAGCCCGAGGCCTTCTAGCCAGGACCTCAAAGGGGAGGAGGAGTTGGGGGAGGGGAGGGGGAGGGGAGATGCTCCGTGCCGTTTGGGGGATTCTGATGAAGAACAACTGATGTAGCAATAAGGGATCAGTTTTTCAGGGGCGGGGAGTGAACCTCATTTGGTGCTGACACCGTCGGCAGGGCTGGGTGGGAGCTGGGTGGGTGGCTTCTTGGCCCACACAGGGCTCTGAGCCTGGTGGTTAGGGCTCACCTGGAAGCTTGTGGCAAATATGGAGTTTAGAGTTAGGGTCACAGGTAGGGTGAGGGTGGTGGGCCAAGCCCAGGGCCATCGAGGGGAAGGTGCAGAACAGGTGCTCAGGCTGGGCCTGGTGTGAAGGGGCGGCGGACCTCGTGGGTTGGGGGAAGGCGAGCAGAGGCCCTGGGAGAAGCACCTTCTCTGGGCTGAGGAAAAGCTGGGGAAGCCAGGATGGGCAGAGAGGTCTAGGGGAGCAGAGACGTGCCAGGTCCTGGGCTCGCCTACCCATCCGCCAGCTTCTCCACCTGGGGCTGGTGCCAGTTGGGTGCAGAGTCCTGGGTGCATGAGTGAGCGACACGCCCAGCCCCTGCCTTACCGTCTTCCGTCTTGTCCAGGATGTTCAGGATGTCCGCCAGCTCCAGTGTCAGCTCATCTGGCTGCTGGGCCACATATGGGTGCACGCATTGGACCTGGGGGCAGTCTGAAGGGAGGGAGGGAGGTGGCACATTCTCCTCATCCATCACCGCCCTGCCCCACCCAGCACACCCTGGACATGGCCCTGCAGTTAGTAGGGACACACTACCCTGCAGTTAGTAGGGATGTGCTGCCTGTCTTGCAGCAACTGAAGAGAAGTCACTTGAGGGAGGGGGCTTGGCTCCAAAGAAAATGAGAGGAAAATAGCTGGGACTCGGATAAAACATTACACCCATAAAGGGTTGAACAGGCGGTGAGGGCTCCTATTCGAGGCTTCAGAAGGACCTTCTTGAGCTTGGACGAGGCCCTGGGAGCAAGTGTGGGATGCTCAGGACATGGTGGACACTGTCAGACAGGCAGCTGCTAGCAGGCAGCTGGACTGGGGCCCTTTTGCATTTTGTGTGGTTTCCAGATAACTGGCAACCCCAAAGAACACAGGCGCCTGCCTTCTGGGCCCAGACTCCTCTGGTTTCCAAGTGACACTCCTTCAGTCACCATCCAGTGTCTGCCGGGATCAGCACACTGATACCCGCATTGGGCACTAAGCTAGCAGCTGGCACTTGGGACCATCGCCAGTCAAAGTGGGCATCCTAGAGGCCACACAGGACTCTGGGAAGATGGGCTCGGGAAGCATCTGGGGCTGATGCCAAGGAGGCCTCCCCTGTCCTGCCCAGAGGTGTCCTGGTCCCAGAGGGCCACTTACCCAGCAGCCGGGACGTGAAGGAAACAAACTTCGTTCTCCGGTTGGGGGCCAGGGAGGTCATCCAGCGCTTCATCTCACTCCTGGGACAGGGAAGAGGACAAATGCCCCAACCGCAGAGCAATGGCCCCCACAGAGGTGTGGCGTGTCCAACAAGCCTGCTACTCAGTCCTGAGCCTGGCTCAGGGCTCCAGCAGGACAGGTGCCCAGAAATCAGCGAGAGGCTGGGAGCCTGACAGAATCTCCCTCGTGCACTTCACAAAGTCAGTTGGTGAAGGTGAGCCTTGTGCAAACCCCAAAGTTAACCCATGAAAGCGCGCTCGGCAGGGGTCAGCTGCCAAGAAGCCATGACCTGTCAGCAGTGTCAGCAGTGGGGTGGGGGGGCGGGGGGGACTGGAACAAATAAGGTGAAGGGATTTGCCAAAAGGGGGGTGGGGGTAGGTGGAGGTGGGCCAAGGGGGGTGGGGACGGAAAGAGACTGTGCTGGGGTGGTGGGAGCACGATGCAGTGTGCAGATGATGTTTTGTTGTAACACTTGAGACCTGTATGGTTTTGCAAACCAATGTCATCCCAATAAATTTTTAACAACCTGTCAGCTGGGGAGGGCCAATGTCATGCGGTGGGGACTGGACCTAGATGGACAGGGTGGCACCTGTGAGTCTGGGGGTGAGAGGGTGTCTCCCCACATTGATCTTGGCTGTACCTCTCAGAGCCCTGGGCTGCAGGGCAAGTAGCCTGGCTGCTCAGAGAGGTGATGAAATGGGCCCCAGGCCACACAAGGATGGTTCACTGGTCAGCCTGGCCCAAGGGTTCTACAACATCTCATTGGAAAAGAGGGCCTGCCCCCCATCTGAGGCCCTGAGGGAACACATGTGTGTACGTACACACATACACACACACACACACACACACACACACACACAAACACACACACACACACATACACAGCAATATGCTACACCTGACTAACCCCGGACAGAAACGCTCACCACAGGTCTGGGGGTGGGAGGAACGGGAACTGGGCGGGCCAAGTGCTGAGCCCTGGAGCCTTGCTCCACCTGGGATGGTGACACGAGTGGGCACTCACTGAGAGGACGCCTTCAGCATGTAGGTGGCCTCCCGGTCGTCTGCGTTCTCGAGCAGCCGCAGAATGAACACGTTGGCCAGCGTCTGGCCCTGGTCCTCGAGCTCCTCCACGCGGAGCAGGCCGCGAGGGGCCGAGTCAAACACCTGGTACTTGTCTCTGGGGACCAAGGGTGGCAGGCGGGCATGTAGGTCCCAGGGAAGCCTAGGGGTCCCAGGGGACACCTCACCCTGGCCCCCAGGAGGACCAGCCCCACCACTGCCACTCCTCACCCCCATCTCCGGGAGGCCCCACCAGAACTCCTGTTCCCCCCCTCCAAACCTCCCCCGCCCCCCTGCCTCCTGCCTCAAACCACCCCTCCCATGGTGTGGCTGGGGGACCGGACAACACCACAGCAGCTGCTCTGTTGAGCACTCACTGTGTGTCAGGCGCTGAGCTGGCCTCTCCATATCCCTGTAAAAGCCTCATTCAACAGGAGGGGGATCTGAGCCCGGGAGTTTTGAATTAACTTGCCCAAACGCCCAAGTCTCAACAAGAACAGAGCTGACCTTAAACCTGACTGAAAGCCTGAGCTCCATGCACATCCTGCCGGCCCTCCCAGGCCGTAGGGAACCATCTCCCCGGGTGCCCTCCCTGGGCTGCCCCCCACAGCATGCTCACCCTCCCCGCCCCCAGTGCCCGGCAGCAGTGCCCGGCGCTCACCCAGGGATCTGCCGGCAGATCACCAGCAGGTCATTGAAGAGGAAGAGGTAAATTTCCTGGAAGAGTTTCTTGGTCCGCAGGGTTCGGGAGGTCTTGGGGCCGGACATCTGCTGCAGCTCGCCCTGCTTCAGCAGCCAGCGGGAGTGGGAGATGATGGGCACCGACTGCGCGAGGGGGGGCGGAGTCAGACGGCTGTGCCCACGCCTGCCCGAGGCTCCCCCAGGGCCCTCACTGGGGTAATGAGCACGAGGAACAGCGTGCCAGGGCTGGGCTGGGCCCAGAGCACACGCAGTGCCAGTGGGAGGAAGGGGCAAGTCCTAGGCAAACGCGGGAGGGCAGGGTGTGTGTGTGGGTCTGTGTACATATGTGCAGCTGTGTATGTGTGTGTGTTTGTGCCTGTGTGTGCAATTGTGAATTATCTGTTGCATACGTATCTGTGCATGCTTCTATATATGTGTGTTTGTGTCTAAGTGTATCTACGTGTAACTACTGGCTGAGGCAGGTGAGGGGATCACACACACACAGAGGTGCCCACATGAACACCTGTGTGTGTGTGTGTGTGTGTGTGTGTGTGTGTGTGATCCCCCTCACCTGCCTCAGCCAGTGCGATGCAGAATCAGAGCAGGGGCCAAGTTCGGAGGGAGAGGAGAGAACTGGGTTGTGTGAGGTCCCCACTTCGTGGCTCAAGGGCAGGCGCCTGGCACCCGGCTCAGCTTGGCAGGTGGAGATATATAGGGGTTCACAAGGCCATGTCTGCATCCTCGACTGGGGCTCAGCCCCCAAACCCAGCACGACCTCAGGGACCCTTGGTGGGCACTGCATGTTCATGTGTCCACAGCACCAAAAATGCATGCCCTGAGGTCCACTGATGCCTGAATCTTTACGCAAAGTTGGGGAGAAGGTTGGTAACTTCCCTCGGAATTTCAAACCTTCCAGCTTTAAGAATCCCTGGGCTGCTCCCTTTTAGGTACTTGGTGTAAATACACAGCCAGTATATGAGAGCAGGTGGCTGCAAGCTCCTTGCCCACCATCTCTCAGAAGACAGTCTAGGCCAGTGATGGCGAACCTTTTGAGCTCGGCGTGTCAGCATTTTGAAAAACCCTAACTTAACTCTGGTGCCATGTCACATATAGAAATTTTTTGATATTTGCAACCATAGTAAAACAAAGACTTATATTTTTGATATTTATTTTATATATTTAAATGTCATTTAACAAAGAAAAATCAACCAAAAAAATGAGTTCACGTGTCACCTCTGACACACGTATCATAGGTTCGCCATCGCTGGTCTAGGCCCATGTGATGGCCTGCGACTAGGGGGCCGAGGGGTGCCCTCCAGTTAGGGGCTCAGGGACGGCTTCTGGGAGGTGACACTGCACTGAGACCAGCGGTGGCCAATTGAGGATCCTGGCCAGCGACCCAGGCTCCAGACCAGCTGGGCTGGATGGGGACACTCGGATGCGTGAGGGCTCACCTTGATCTTAAACTCCATCTTCTTCTGAATGCTGATCATCTGCTCCGTGCGGCTCATTTTCCTGACGCCCTCGTTGCATGCTTTTACCACCTGGGATGTAAAGCAGGACACATCAGGGCCCCTGCAGCCCGCTGTCCCGGGTCACTTCCTGCTGGCCACTCAGGCCCCAGAGGGCTGAACAAGCGCTGTGGTCAGACAGTGCACCCACAGCTGAGACGGAGCGGCCAGTCTCAATCAGGCTGGAGCTCCCTTCTCTAGCACCTTCTTGGACAAAGGCAAAGTGGGAAAACTTGTCAGGCTGTTAGAAAGCAAATTTAAACAATAAGATGTCCTTAGTCATTTGTCAGACTGGAAAAGGCAGTCGGGGTGGAGAAGGAAGACAGTGTGCTCTCTGCGCAGGACACGCCTGATCCAGGGACTCTTCTGGATTCCAAAACCAAATACTAAATTAGTATTTCCCAAAGACACGCCGGCATGCGAGGGAGCAGGAGCAGGAAGGCAGGAGTGGACGAGGAAGCAATTTACTGGGGAAAACAGAGAGAACCATGCTCACCAGTTCCAGTTCCTTGTGGGCGTCCAAGGCGGTGCATTCACGCTCAGACCTCTCCTCCACCCTCTTCAGGATGTTCTGAGCACAGGAGAGTCGGCATGAATTTTCCTAACGGCCATTCCTCCCCTCTCCGCTCCCGCCCTCCCTTTGCAGTGGTGGCCTCATTGCTGCACCAGTCCAAACAGCCTCTGGTTGCTGCAACACCCACACCCACGTACAAACAACCCTACCAGGTGACAACAGAGGGCAGAACCCTCAGCTGGGCCGAGGGCCGAGCATCCTGACTCAATGCCTTGCCTGGCTCTAAATTGGTAACCACAGGTCAGTCTCCTATGAGGACTAACCCTGAGGGCCAATCCAGAGCCTGACACCTCACTGCACAACAAACATCAAAGCGAAGGAGGCGACCAGGTGCTGGCGGGGAGGACAGGTCCAGCAGGGAGGGACCGGAGGTGATGCAGACCCGAGGGGAGCTCCATGCTCATGGCAGGCACCAGGGGCTTCCCTCCCCCTCCGCTGGGATTTGAAGCCAAGTCGCAATAACCCCAAAGCTTTCTTGACTTTGGTCTTACTGATCAAAATGTCTGTTTTCTAATTGTTAAATTCTCTTGAATTATCAAAAAATGATGCTCACGTTGCCTTTACCTATAGATTACAATTTTTGCTTTGCTCTCCAAACTTTGCATGGTTTCTGCCTCACAGTCCTGTGTCTATGGTTTTGGACCAGCTCGGTCCCCTGGGGAGGTTTGGGTGTGTCGGAGCACAGTCCTCTGCCAGCTGCCCCATGCAATGGCTGTCCAAACAGCGCTGTTGACCACTCCGTTCCTTCAGACACCTGCACGGTGGCATGCCTTTTCGCCCTTCACACGATGCTCAGCCTCCCTGAGACCAGACCAGACCCAGATCCTTGCTGCCTCTGGCGTCTCTCAGCCACACCGCCACGACCTCCTGTGTGGTCACCTGCCCAGCTCTGTCCGCAGCCAAGCCAGAGCCTGCAGTCATCCCAAGTGCTTCCTTGCACCCTCACCAACATGGGGCCACCAAACCTTGTCATTAATGGTCCCCCTGTGCCCAAGTCCGCATGGTTCAGGCCCCATCTTTTCCTCTGGAATAAAACTCCCACCCTGCGCGGGGCCCCATGCTGAGGGTGGTGCGGCTTCTCAGCCAGGTGCACGGGACCTTCACACTAGCTTCCTCTCCGTTCCTTCTGGGCACGGTGTGTCCCAGCGCTGGGTCTCCGGGTCCCTTTCTGTCCTTCCTCGATGGTCTCACTCTTAAATGCCATCTCCGTGCTGAGAACTCCAGCCCCTACTTCTCCCTTTGACTCTAAACCTGAATATTCAACTGCTCAAAGTCATCTCAAGCTCAGCTATTTCAACATGAATCTGGGCTGCTCCCCAGACTGTCCCCCCCACCTCCGGAAGCTGCTCAAACTAGAAGATTCTTCTCTTCCTTCCTTCTCCACAGAAGCAAGTCCCAGGCTCAATTCACTCACTTCCCTCCAGGACCCTTCCACTCTCCACCCTCCATGCCAGCCATGCCACCCTCCTTTTTTTAATTGCTTCCTAGCCTCTTCTCCCATGTTCTCTCTTGCCCTCCTGCCCATCACTCTCCTCATGGTGGCCTCTGTGTGCTCTTACAAATGTCAACTAGATCAGGGGAATCCCTGTCACACTGAGGACAGAGCCCAATGTTTTACCTGACCTCTTAGACCCCTTGCTGATTGGTCTCTGCCTACATCTCCACACTCACTCCCCTCATACTCCCCCAGCTTTTCACTGGCCTTCCTGTCTGTGCACCTGGCTGCCCCAGGGCCTTTGCATAAGCTGTTCTATCACTTGAATGGCTCCTGCCTGTCAGCCATCTCTCAGCTTAAATGTCACTCATTCGAGACTCTTTCCTGTCCCTTCAATTGGTTGTGGCCAGGAAGGCACCCAATTATGTTACCCAGTTTCACTGTCCTCATTGCCATGACCACTTCCTGGTTGTGCGTTTGTTGATCTCTCCTCCTTGGCACACAGTAGGAGTTTAATTAGGGCTTGTGGAACAGACTGAATGCCCGAAGGAAACAGGTGTGCGGCAGAAGTATACACAAGCCCCACCTGCCGGTCGGGTGGGAGAGGCAGTACCTGCACCAGAAGCTTGAGGCGTGTGATCCTCTGGAAAGGCAGGATGAGGAAGGAGGAGAGAGGCAGTCCCCTGCACTTGGGGTCGAGCTCCAGCTGCGCGATCAGTTCCCGAAAGGCTGCCTTCTCCTGGCTGGGGACACAGACACGGGAGTAAGTCTCTGGCTCCCCACCCACAGCCTTGTAGGAACCAGACAGCCCACGGGCACCAAACGCCCGTTGCTTGATTTATTTATTTATTTTAATGTAAAATAGTGGCTTCACATGCCTGGCCCACGAAGACTTGGCCGAATATGCTGCGTGTGGGAGGGCAAGTCTATGAATCAGATGCACAGCCGGATGGTTTACCCAGCAGGAACCCGTGGCGAGGTGAACCCACGTAGTGACAGGAACAGGCAGCAGCTGGAGGCCACTGCCAGGAACCTGCGCTCCTCCTGCAGGTGGAGGCACCTTGTCTGCAGATGGGCTCGGCCCTGGGCCAGGCCCACAGCTGGCCTGCAGCTGACGAGGGTGCCAGGAAACTGCCGCTGGAGTTAGACTCAGGCCCTCTGGAGGGACATGGACCTCTGCCTGGGGCTCAAGCCCAAACAGTCTGCACTTGCAGCCACACCAGTGTACCCGTGGGCATTGTGATACCTGGATTCCTGTCCTCCTGGAAGCCTGTCTTCTCACATTGGTGCTCAAAGCTGGCTTCCGATTCCCTCCAATCCCAATTTCAAATCCCAAACATAACCCCCCCCCCAATACTCCAGCTTTAAAACATCCACAGTGGGAATGACAGGGTTTGACAGATAGGACCAGGGAAGTAAGTGTGGCAATCACATGTCACTACCCAGCAAATTCTTGCATGCCCCATCTAAGAACACATCCCTGGTTACACTGCCATGATGCCTGGCATAGAAATGCAAAGGATTCAAAAGAGGCCAGTTGGGCTCTAGCTGGTTTGGCTCAGTGGATAGAGCTTTGGCCTGCAGACTGAAGAGTCCTGGGTTCAATTCCGGTTTAGGGCACATGCCCAGCTTGTGAGCTTGATCCCCAGTGGGGGATGTGCAGCCGATCAATGATTGTCATCATTGATGTTTCCATCTCTTTCTCCCTCTCCCTCCCTCTGAAATCAATAAAAAAAATATTTTTTAAAAAAGGCAAGTTGACTGAAAAAGTATTTTGTCAACTGAAATGCCAAGAAAATTTCCTAAATGGGTAGATTAGCAAGAAATTCAAGGGCGTTGCTGGGTAGCCACCAAAGAGACTTCCTCCTGCCCATCCTTGTTTTGTCTCTGGTTCAAATCACTTTCTTGCCATCCTGGCCTCAAGCTGTCCTCTTGGCCTCAAACTCCCTTTTCTACACCTCACAGAGCTCTGCACAGCTGGACAGAGGTCCAATGGGCACCACAGCTGACCGTCTCAGGATCAATATTTCTCTAGTGACATGGAACCCCCCCGGAACACACCAGGCATGGATATTATCCCGGGAAAGCCAAGGTCCAAGGGCCAGGGCTCCGTGTCTCCGTGTCCCCGTGAAGCGTGGCCCGCAGCCCGGCACACTCACAGCAGCTGCTTGTAGGTCCTCTCCTGGTAGGTCTGGTTGCTGACGTAGGTGATGTAGACCGAGAAGTGGTTGGCCGCATAATGGTACACGATGTCACACACGTCCGAGATGACAATGTTCTCCTCCATCCGGCGCTCCAGCTCCAGGAGGAACCTGCGGAAGGCAGCGGCTGTGGGTAAGGGCGCCTGGGTGGAGACTCAAAACACACCTTCGCCAATAGGTCTCGCCCGGACAAACCAACAAACACTACGAGATGAGATCCCCTGGTCGCATCAAGGAATTACTGTCCAGTTTTTTTAGATGGAAATAGCATTAGGACTACAGTATTTTTAAGAGAGAGAGAGAGAGAGAGAGAGAGAGAGAGAGAGAGGGACCTTATCTTTTAGATGTATACTGATAGATTTACAGATGAAATGAAATGATGACAAGGATTTGTATCAGCCCAGCTGGCATCACTCAGTGGTTGAGCGTCGACCTATGAACCAGGAGGTCACAGTTCAATTCCCGGTCAGGGCACATGCCTGGGTTGTGTGGGGTGTGCATGAAGCAGCCAATCAATGATTCTCTCTCATCACTGATGTTTCTATCTCTCTCTCCCCCTCCCTTCCTCTCTGAAATCAATAAAAAAACATTTCTTTAAGGATTTGTATCAGACAGATCCCATGGGTGTCATGCAGGGGTGGGGACGTGCTGAACTTAAATGCTGAAGCGTGGGCTCGCTACACTGGTGTCTCTATTCCGCATGTTTGGAATTTTCCCTAATAAAATATAAATAAATACATACATAAATAAAAAGACCCTTCTCCTTCCAGCGAGGGTGAAGCAGCTGAGGCCGAGGGCGTCTCACAGCTGCTCGGGCCTGGGGCTCTCACCCTCCCAAGCCCAATGCAAGCGGAAAGGCGAGGCGTCAGTGTTGGGCAGGGACCCGTTCGGGGTCCACTGAGAGCCAGCAGCTCTGCCACATCTGATTTCACACCTGGACACTCGGGTTGGACCACATGATCCAAAGCTGAGTTCTGCACTTTTCTTGGTAAAAATCCATGGCCTACAGTGAAAATGGTAAGTGGCCCTTTTACCCTAACAATAGGATCAGAGTTTGTTCTTCTTTGCAGAAATCAGTTGGTAGATGTCTGCTCCTCCCCACTAAGCATATCCCATCCTTCCTAGGGGCTGAGATATAACCACAGTTCTGGGAAACGCTGCCACATGGGCAAACACCCTCCCATTGGTGAGGTGGAGGCACTAACCGAGGCTGCGCTCCACACTGGCTCCGAGGGTCTAACCCCGCAGGCACCAGGCCAGGGCTTTATGACTCTATCAGGATAAAGAATAGCTTACACGGACACCCTGACCTGCCATGACACCAGCCGCACACCCTCCTGACTGTGGGATGCACAGACACTTGTGCTCACGGAAGGACCTACAGCCACAGTCCAGGGGGACGTGATTGACTGCCCTGCTAGGAGGAAGGTGGATCTTTGGATGAACATATTTATTCCTATCTTATCATAGAAAATTCCAAACCTACAGAAGGAGAGAAGCCCACATAAGAAGCACTGGCCACTTGCTCCAGCCGCCCCAGGCGAAAAGGCGGGATGCTCACCGTTGGCTGACGGCCATGACATCCAGGACGTTGGAGAAGAGGATGTGCGCCTCAGACGGGTGCAGGATCTTCTTCAGCCGCTCGTTCTCCATGAAGTGGGACACGAGCAGGTTCAGGCTTTTGTAGTAGGAGGCTTCAGAGGTGACCAGCTCGAACATGGCCTTCGTCAGGGACACGGAGGAGCAGATAAGAGGAGACAGTGGTGGGATTCAGCAAAGAAAAAACACCAACCAACCAACCAACCAACTAACCAACAAACCAACAAACATCTATACATATAAAAGGCTAATATAAGTGTCCGACTGTCCAACTAGTCACTATAACGCACTGACCACCAGGGGGCAGACACTCAACGCAGGAGCTGCCGTGATACACACTGGCCATTTACAGAGAAATGGCACCACGGACCTGGTGCCCACAAAGCAACACTCGGCTTCCCCCAAGTGGGACACAGGCCCCACCACCACCCCGGAGCAACACCCCACCAAATCGCAGCCAATGCTGCTGAGAACCCATGGCACAAAATGCAGCCCACAGCCCAGCCTAGCCCGAAAATAGTCGCTGTGGGCACCGGGTAATGATGTCACATAGCAATGCCTGGCTTCCTCTCCCTAGCGACTAGCCTCCTTGGAGTTTCAGCCCAGGAACATGACTTGCTTTATAGCCAGGTGGAAACATTTTACACTTTAACCAAATGTCTGTGAAGCTTTTCCCATGCCTCATCTCATTTGATCCTCACAGAAGTCCTGGAGTAGGTATTTAGGAGACTCAGTGGAATCCTATTTTCTTTTCATTAACCAGAAAATGGAGATTTAGAAAGCTTAGAAACTTGACCCCACTGAAAAGAAGAAATGGTGGACCTTGAAAATGACTTCAGGTTTTCTCACTGCACAGAATATAGTCAAACACTGCTGCAGTTAAATATTTTACCCTTTGTTCTCCCTGCGTGATCTACAATAATAATCTGCTTCATGTTGATATTTATGGCTGTGTTGCTGACAATCACCTGGAAGAGAAGTTGGGGTGCTTCACTGGGCTGGAAAAAGTTTAGCTAAATCAGAAAGCAGGTCTAATTAAGCAAGTTTAGAGAGAGAGAGAGAGAGAGAGAGCTCTCGCTGGCGCCAATCGCATGCATGTGTTTCCATCTGTCATTGTCAATCGTGAATTTAGTTGACACTTCTATTATAGAGCAAGGGTGAATATCGATATTAAAGTATTTCTTCTAATTAATTTCCTTTCAATATGCACGAATTCGAGCACCGGGCCTCTAGTATCTATTTAAAACACATAGACACAGATAGCCAGAGGGAGAGGGGGTGAGGGGTAGGTGGAGGTGGGCAAAGGAGGGGAAAATGGGGCAGGAAAGAGACTGCTTTGGGCAATGGGCGCACAATGCAGGGTAAAGAGCAGTTTACTGAGTTGTACACTTGACACCTGCATCGTTTTGTGAACCAATGCCTCCCCAATAAATTCAACTTTTAGAAAAGAGGAGACAGTGGTTACCACTGCAGACTGGCCCGCAGGAGAGTGCC